AAACCAAGAGACTAACTTTACTAACGAACATTTTTAATGCTAAAATACAGCCCTATCTATGTGAAAATTGTTATTTTTTGTGTTTTAAGATAGTTTTTTGAGTCATTTGCTGTGATAAATACCACATGATAATTTGCCTTTTTTAAAAAAATATGTTTGGTGCACGGTCTCATTACACAGCTCAGACCACCTATTTTCAGCCTCCGGTGCTGGGATTACAGTGTGTGCCACCACACCCCAACTTGTGGGCCCCGTGGCCGGGCAGGGGCGGGGCCAGCTTGGCGTGTGGTGCGGGCGCTGCCTGAGCAGGCGCTTAGTCTGCTGAGCTGTCTCCTGAGCACTGCCAAGCCTTGGTTTTATGAACTAGGTTCGTAAGTGAATTTGACATGTAGGATCAGCTGATCTATGCCATAAAAATCAGAAAAGATTAATTTCTCTTATAACTGAACTTTAGTTTGATTAAAGTCTTTTTTTTTTTTTTTGGTATTTAGTACAGGGTCTCACTATGTAGATTGGACTCCTAATGATTCCCGTTTTCAGCCTCCCAAGCGCTGGGATTACAGGTGTGCGCCACCACACCCCGTGTGGGCCACCACACCCCGTACTGCTTTATTTTCTTTATCATTGTGTTGGAGTTTGACATTTTCCTAAGGGCAGGAAAGATATTAAGGAAAAGATCTTATTCTTCTTTTGTTTCTAACAGTTTTTTGCTTTTAACATTTATAAACCGTCATCTGTTAAATTGTTTTAGAATTTGGAAAAGCAGTAGATTTTTTTTTTCTTTAGCAGATGATCTTGAGAAAATAATTTCTGTGCAAGACCTAAATTTGTTTTTCATTTTTTCAGGTTTAGTTAAATAATATTTTTTAGCTCATTCCATACTGTAAAATTTATTAGCTTTCATTAAAACTCCAATGTCTGGTTACATTAATATATGAAAATTAGTTTTACCCTATAAAATACTGCATATTATAATCTTTTATATGTCTATAGGAGACAAAGGGGGAATTTGTAATATTTACTATTTTTTCTTTGAATACTAGTAATAGTTCCATGTTTTGTTCATAAGCAGTTTAGATGTGTATGTGTACTTGTGACTATAGAAAAAGAGTTTTACATTTATCTTTGTTACCTGATCAAAGTTAAAAATAACTTGAGTTTAGCAGTCAAAGCTAGAAAAGATACCCTCTTGCATGCAGAGTTCTGTGACAGTGAATACTGATCCAATCCAGGACTATAACCATTGAGAGCTATTTAAAAAAATACTTTCTATACTCAGGCTTAGTAAGACGAGCCTTAGTAATGGGGCACAGTTATCCAGTAGCAAGAATAATTAAAATTTTTTTTGTCTTTGACACTGGGTTTCATTATGTAATTCAGGATGGCCTGAAATAATTTTGTAGCTTGGGCTGGCCTTGAACTCAGCAATCCTGCCTCAGCCTCTGGTGTGCTGGGATTACAGGCATTAACCACCATGCCCAGCAATACTTTTAAATTTTTACACTGACTAGGGCCAGCCAAATAGCTCAGCAGATTAAAGCGCCTGCAAGCATGCACAGGGGCCGGGGTTTTGATCCCCAGGCCTGCCTTACTGCCCTGTCCCTGGGGCACACTGAGACCGCTATTGAGACTGGGTGTGGTGGTGCACACCTGTAATCCCAGCTCTTGGGAGGCTGTAAATAGGGGGATCACTATGAGTCCCAGTCTGATTTAGTAGTGAGACCCTGAACACCCTGTAGGCCCTTCCTTAAAATACAAAAATGAATAAATAATTTTTTACACGATTTTGAACAACAGGATTGCAGTCCTTTCTGCTGTACTGTCTTTTTATATAAAACTGTTGACCACTCCTAGTTACACTGTTTTTCCCTTCTCTTTGGACCATGATAAGCGCTTGAGTTGTGACTTCAGAGCTGGGTAACTTTTAAAATTAAAGAGACCACATGAAAAGGTCATTTGCGTGTGTAACATAAGGTGTGCTCCTGAGGGATGTCACATGTGTAACATAAGGTGTGCTCCTGAGGGATGTCACAGGCTTGCTTTAACCCATTTGACTTACTGCTCCAAAGTAACTGTAATGTAATGGTAATAGTATAGCAAAGTATGATGAATAGCTTTACTTGTATGTTTAAAAAAGTCATATGTTCACATGCTTATTCTGGGTATCAAAATTTAAGCAATTGTTGTATGAATGTCTTAATATAGTGATTACAAAGCAAAAAAAAAAAACCAAACCTAAATTTATAATATAAATGTGTGTGGGTTTTTTTTTTGGGGGGGGGCAGAACTGGGGATTGAACTTGGGCTCTTGCGCTAAGCGCTTATTGTATTGAGCTATCTCCCCGGCCCTATAAATGTATTTGAACTTTCTTTTTTTCTTTATTTTTGGTGTTGGTGGCTTTGGGTTCGAGACAGGGTCCATTATATAGTTCAGGCTAGCTTTGAATATGCTGGCCTTGAACTCACTGAATGATCCCCTTCCTCAGCCAAGTGCTGGGATTACTACAAGTGTGCATCATCATGCCCAGATGGATTTTTTTTTTTAACCACAGAGAAATTTGAATGTGAAGTAGTAATTTTAAAATATAGCCGGGGAGATAGCTCAGTTGCTCAAGTACCTGCCTGGCAAGGATAAGGTCCTGAGTTTGATTTTTGATATGAAAGGGCCTGAGTTCAGGGCCGGTTCCACAAAAAAAAAAGTAGATTAGTACAGAGCCCACTTTTTCTGTGTCCCAACTGGTGTTGAATCACTACAGCAAAGTATGTAATTATATATATATAATGATTTTTATTCTTGCTGGTTCTACGTGGACCATGTGTTAATGGACACTTTCTACAGCTCATAATCATGACGGTATTGCTATCTTTTGCTTGGGGAAGTTGATACAAAAGTCAGTCACTACTAATGATGAACTATTTAGATTTCAGCAGATGTCAGGGTTGATGTTTGTTTTGATACAGTGAAAGTTGTTATGGAAGTAACTCCTCCCCAAAAAGATTTTTTTTTTTTTTTTTGGCAGAACCAGGGATTGAACTCAGGCCCTTGTGCTTGTCAGGGAAGCACTTATTCCACTGAGCCATCTCCCTGGCCCCCCAAAAAAGATTTTGAAATTGAGCATTACATGTTTAATTAAAATTCTTATATAAATTGTGTTATTTTCTTCATGGGGAAATCCAATGTCCTTAAGAATATAATCCTAAAAGTTCTTACATATTGGTGAAAAGCAACATGATTGTGTTGTCATGGAAACTCAAATGGGAAAATGAAAATAGTACAGATAAACTGCACCCTGTTGTCATAGCAACCATAGTTGTGAAAATGATTAAAGCTGGTCTAGAAAGGATGTATTGCAGCTTTAACCTACTGCAAATAAATAGTAAGAAAAGATTAGGAGCATTGATTTTAGCCAAAAGTTAACTCCATCTGCTGCCATGTTTCTAGTACCACTATGTGTAGACAGAGCTCTGTCCTTCTAATTACAGTTTCAACTTAATTTCATTGCCTCACCTCATGATGACATAAGGGAAAAATAAATGTAATAGCTAAATGAAAATTCTATGAATAAAGATCTTTTTGGTAACAAATTTAGAAAGAGATCAAAGAAAATTTTGTTCCTCAAAATGACTTAAGGGATTCTTTCTTTCTTTCTTTCTTTCTTTCTTTTTTTTTTTTTTTTTTTTTTGGAGAAAAGGTCTTACCAAGATGTGCAGGCAGGCCTTGAACTCACTATGTACCCCAGGGTGGCTTTGAACATGTGGTGGTCCTCTTACCCTAGTCTGAGTGCTGGGATTATGGGCATGTACCACCATGCCCTGTTTAGGTTGGTCTCAAATTTGCAGTGATCCTCCTTCCTCAGCTTCCGGAGTGCTGGGATTAGAGATGTGTGTCACCACATCCAGCAGGAACAGAAATCTTGGAGGGTAGTTTGTTGCTGGACATGGTGGTGCACACCTGTAATCCCAGCACTGGGGAGGCTGAAACAGGAGGGTTGGGTCTCTATGAGTTTGAGGCCAGTCTGGGCTACATAGTGAGACCTGTCTCAGAACAACAACAATAAAACAAGTAGTTGTAAGTCTGTAAA